TAACCACTTTTTGATATCTTTCAAAAGAAGTGAGATATATAGGCTCAAAGTGGACGATCCGGGTGTCGTTCTATTAGAGGTTTTACGGTATGTGGTAGTCTGAGAGAACAAGGTTCGGGCTACACAGTGAATAAAAATTTCCCAGCCACATTCAGCGAGATCGGCCTGGGTTTTCCTTCCCTCATGAGGTTGCGGATTTTAATTTTGAAAATAAATCTTTGTTTTTCTCTCCAATGGAGATACACATGGAGTCTGAGTTATGTCTCTTGACAAGAATAGGTATCAGTCTTAAAAGTGACACCATTACCTGACAGCTCCCATTACTCCACTTCTTGGTAGGCCACATTACCGACAATATCCCATTTTTAACATGAATTTTACGTTTTGGGACGTCTGTTGGTTGAGTGCCTTTGTGATCCCACTTGGCATGTCTCTTATTGTAATCACACATTACCCATTGATCCCCAATAGTAATGGTTTGATTCCAACATTCATGTGTGCAATGCAGGGTGAGAAGATTCAAACATGAGAAGGAAAGCTGCGTTGAGCCAAAAGGTGTGATCCATATCTTTCCACTTTTTTGACTTTACCGAGTATTTCCAATTCATGGCTTTTTGACGAAAAGCTTGCCACTGATGTACTTGATATATCCCGCACAGTTTGAGACGGGTCCCTTTAGATCCCGTTTTTTAATGGATCCAAATCTAAGCCTGTTTGCCTTTTTGAAGGGGGATTTTTGTCAAACGAGAATTCCCCTTTTTCAAATAGATAACGCCGGGGTGTAATGATAGTTTGGAAGGGTGCATCTTCGTTGAAAACATCCACTAATCGGAGCTTGATTCCAGCAATTTTCCGCTCAGATGGAAAACAAATGAAATGGCAGTCCGAAAATGGAAATTATTAGAGGCGGAAACCTTAAGCACTACACGAAAAGAGGAGCATGATCTCCGTTTGCGTCTAGACACTATTAGACCCCACTAATATACTGATAAAACGACAGCTCCCTCACTTTTACCCCATCGTTAAAAAACAAGTATGAAAAAAGTAGATCAAAAATGGCGGGAACTTTCCAAACAACCTAATAGAAAAGCCCCACACTGAAAAGTTTAAGCTTAATGTTTTTGGCTTATATGGAACATATCAAAAATTAGTCCACTAACTAACTGTTTGTCATACTATGATGAACAATTTATCAGTTTCCAACTTTTTAATATCTTTGACAGGAACCGAGATAAATTGGCTTTAAAGTTAAGGGCTCTTCTATTACAGGTCTCACGGTACGACTTTTACTAAATCATTATTTTTTCAGTTCGTGCTAGTCCCCATTCAACGAGGTGTACGTTGCGCTGTTCCAATTCCATCGTTCAACGGAAAGTACTGTCTGCTAGCTTCTGACGTTTTTATGAGCTTCATCCTCGACCAAATCTCCATGGAACAAATTTTTCATGGTGTCTCCCAAGATGACGCAGCGGAGATACTATTGGAATTTGAGAAGTAGGAAAATGTGCTTTCTCAATGTTGTGTATGTGATTCTTGTTTGTATTGGCTAAAGATGCTTACTATTAGTTTTCAGAAAGGATCGATTCTCCTGGACATGGATTATATCGAGCCAATTGCTAAAAATGTGACCAATCTTTTGAAAAAGTATAAGAAAACGGGACCGTCAAGAAAGCCAAGGATGAAGACGACTTCGAGTAAGGTGACACCAAAGATTATGGAAGAGCACATCGTTGCTGCAGGACTTCACAAGGCGTTTCCTGATATTCTGGGACGTGTCAGCTGCTTTGAAAATTTAAATGAGATGAGCAATGGGAACGTTTTCAATGTTTTATTGTTGTTGGAGCATATTCAATTCGTCGAGGTCATTCTCAACACAAAACGGGTCAGAAAAACATCTGAAGAATATATTTTTTTTTGAAAAATTTGAATTTTCAGATTCCAAAGTTTCTTCATCAACACGAAATCTGTACTCAACATTGGACGTTGTGTCCGTATTGCACTGGTATCGATCTGGAGAGTTCGGATAGTGAGACGGAGTCTAGTGAAGCTGAGAATCAAGACGGCGAAATCCAGCAGATGAGAAAGAAAATTTCAAATCAGCAACAGAAGATTTTGAGATTGGAGATGTGAGTTTATTGACATTTTTCAAATTTTTTAATGACTTCCAAATTTCAGTACCATTCTGAAGCAAAAACGAACGATTCAAAAATTGCAGAGAAGAGTTGGAAAGTGAAACATCAATTTTATGATATTTTATCATACATACATATGTATATCACACATTTATTCTATGAAATAACGTTCACACCAAATATTCCAAACCACACGACTCCTTCAAAACTTTTGGAATATAACATCGAGGATTCCACAACTGCCTGAACATTATCAGCATCGTATGAGTGATTTTCGCTTGTTTATCAAAATGAGAACCGATTCTCAATAGTTCTAGAAGACGAGATGGACCCGTTCTTGGGTCCGTTTGAAGGCAAATTTGAAGTAGTAAACGGGTATATTGGCATTGATGCTTGTAAAGGATATCTTTCCCATTTTGTGAGAGATTTGGGATTCCTGGAAAACAATTGAGTTATGTATGGACCAGTACAACTAAAAAACGGCTAATTCCGGAAAGTTTTCAAATGTTCGAACCACTAAACTTCGGAGTGTCGTGGTTTTTTCAAAATTATTTTTGGGGTTGTCTGAATAAGTTTCACACAATTCGTTTTCCAGGCCATGGTGACCAAACTTCCAAAGGTTGAGTTTTCTAGGCCTCCATGGGAAATGTCCTAGAAAACACACTAGGCGCAAATTGACCATCAACTACGGTGTCCTAGACATATCGTATTAAGAAAGTTTAAAACGGATTAACGACGGACCAAAGACGGTCCGATGACAGGCCCGTCCGTAGCTACTTTCCTTTTCAATATTTTCCGACTGACTAAAACGAGTTAAAATAAAATTGAAATATATGAAAAAAGTCCCAGTTGATAAATGAGTCAAGACGAAAAATGTCTCCACTATTTGGCATAAAAGGCCTTACCCGGATTACAGATCATTATCATGTTCAGTAAAAGAAATTCGTTTTCGGTGACCTCAAGTTTCAGTAATGGTTGCATTGGTATTGTAAGAAGGTCATCGATCACTTCGTTACATTTTTCAATCTCCATGACTTCTTGTGGAAGCATTTCTTCTCCAGTTGGAGCTAAAACTCTCCCCTTTTTCATCATAAAAGAGTCAAATGCAATCGATAGATGATGACTCTTGAATGCCACATTTTTTAGAAGAAGGACCTAAAATCTTCTGAATGTTCAGATAACATTTTTGAATTGTTGAGCTCACCTTATCTGAAAACAGGAGCTCTTTATAAAAATCCATTGTCTTCACAACTTCTGCAATGACCATAACACCAAGCGATCCCCATGGCTTCAACTTTCTTTCCGTTTTCTCCCAGTTAATTAATTGCTGGAAGGGATTAAAAATTGTCATATTTATTTCAGTAAAGTACTCACCGGTTTAATATATTTCGCTAAATTGGAATCTTGTAACACTAGCTCCAGAAAACTCGGATCCTCGCAAACGTTGATCATTTTGTATACTTTGATTCGTGTTTCGTTCATGTATTAGGTTGGCGGGAAAGTCTTTGTCACTTTTTCAATAGTTTATTTCTCAAAGAAAAAATAACCGAATAATTAATTATATTGTCCATCATTATCAACAACATGTCTCCAACGTTCCCTCAATTTATGGATTCCATTGCGGTAGAATCCAGCCGGGCGTGAGGCAAAGTATTGTTTGAGTGCCGCTTCGACCGCTCCACGGGAATTGAAGCTTCTTCCTTCGAGGCACGTGTCATATCGCCAAATAACCAATAGTCGGAAGGAGCAAGATCAGGAGAATACGGGGGGTGAGGGAGAACATTCCATCCATATCCCATCAGCTCCTGCTTCACTTGTTTCGAAACATGTGGGCGAGCGTTATCATGTTGATAGTACACTTTCTTGTCTTTCAGGGCCGAACGGTCGACTGCTTTCTTGAGGTTTCGTAGTTGAGTAGTGTAGAGGTCTCCAGTTATTGTTTTGCCCTCGGGCAGAAGTTCCCAGTAGATGGGGCCGTCCACTCCCCACCACACAGAGAGCATAACTTTTTTCGGATGAAGGTCGGGTTTTGGGACATCCTGTGGGCTCTCTCCTTCTCCAACCCACTGGGATTTCCTGTGGTGATTATCGTAGAAGACCCACTTCTCATCTCCGGTTATTAGCCGGTCCAGCCATCGATCGCCCGCGTGGAGAGTGAGAAGAGTAATCGAATCGTCGACTCGGCGGTCAAAGTTGGCTTGAGTCAAGTGATGAGGTATGAATCGACCAAAAAGTTTTCTCATTCCAAGAGACTTCAAACCTTCAAGGACTGTGCTATGGTGAACTCCGAATGTGACAGCTAGTTCACGGCTAGATTGAAATGGATCCGATTGCAATGCGTGCTTCAGCTTGTCCAAATCCAACTCACGGGGTCTCCCAGAGCGACCCTTTTCATCGAGCGAGAAGTCATCTTTTTCGAAACGATGGAACCAATTGCGAATAGTATTGTAGTGAGGGGCATGTGTGTTGTACACATTCTTCAAGAAAGTTTCCGAATCCTTCATCGTGGTGTGAGATAGGAAGAGGTAAATCAAAACATGTCTGATGTGAATAGCAGTGGGAACAAACATATCGTTTCAATTACAGATGAGGAGCAGGGAAGGAGATGGGGACTTGTTTATATGGAAGGTTCTTATCACCTTGTTATTCACTAGAGTCGATATCATACACAGCCTCCATATACGAGAACAGTGATTAAACAAACAGAGTGACAAAGACTTTCCCGCCAACCTAATATTTTATTTTTTGAAATGTGTTACAATCGATGTGTGACTGTGTAACTATTGGGGTGTTGACAATAGCAACTTCAGAAATTTTAGGTTTTGTTGGAACTGTATTTTCAGAATCCAAGTTTCTCTTCATTCCCAGCTCTTTGCATTTTGCAAATCGACAGGGGCGACACTTTGGAGAAGCTTCTGAAATTGAATTTTTGAATATGAAAGAAGCAGATCATGTAGATTTTCGTTAAGTATAATGTTTTCCCTTGGAAACCCTAGAGCCAAACTTTTTGTTCCAAACTTTACAAGGTTGCGGCGCCTCATCCCTAAAATTTTTGCGGCGCCTCATCCCTAAAATTTTTCTGAAAAGTTCACCTCCACACAGGGCTTCTCTTGATTAAGTTTCTGCTACAAAACATGAAAAAATGTCGCAAACCACAATTTGAATATAAAAAGTTATGATTTGAGCTTACCGGTTCACATGATACACGTCTGGAGCTAATATACTAGCTTCAGAGATCGCGTAGCCAAATTTTGCGTCGTCTATTTTCTTTAGACTTTTTTGCCTTAAATCACTCTCATATATTTGATCAAACGAATCCGGATTTTGTGACTATCATGTTTAGCACAAACTCCAGTGAAAATAAATGATCCTAGTGGACGCTTGTAAGAATAACAAGTCAGTTTCAATAGAGATCGAAGAAAAAAAGCTCACCAACTAAATTTTTAACGTCAAAACACTGGCCACCCAGTCTGCATTTTTTCTTTCCCATTTTTTCCGCATTCGCTCGCCGGAAGAACATTTTGCACGCGTTGCAAGAGACAACCTGAAAACTCCGAGACTACAAACTATAAACTACAAACTACAAACTCACATCATAGTTATAACCGAAAGCTCGTTTCCCACAAATTTCACACGACTCGGGCCGATTCGTGCTCATCGTGAAATGAGTTGTTGAAGGAAAGGAAAGCTGAAAAATAATAATGAGAATTTGTTCTGGGAAAAACAAATGTGATGTCTAAAATGGAAGAACTCCAGACACTGAGAAATGATGACAAACAACTCGACAACGTGCTCGATGTGAGAGGGATAAGCTTCTCTATCTCCGGATTTCCGCTGACTCCCTGAAAAGGGGGGCGTGGCTTAGAACGAGTGGACTTTAGTCAATACACATCAAGCTCAATAATTTTGAAACATCACATTTCTTTGGAACATCGAACATAAATAATCCTAAGGATTAAAAATATTGGGGCTTCAGGGGAAGAACAAATATCAGAAGGTGATGAAAAATGTTGAAGAAAATAGATCAAATCTTTAATTGGAACAAGTTTGATAGGAAAAGTCTTTGAGTGTATCCAAAAAATGGCCCCATGTCGATATAATGGTAGTATCATCCATCCCAGACTGATATCTGAAACTCACAGTTTTTCCAGTTCTTGTTTGGTGCCCCTATTGTTTTAGGGTTCTCTCGGGCCCCTAAAAATGAAGCAAATACCTAAAACCTTATTCACACACCAAAAGTTGTTTATCAATTTTCAACAGAACATTGAATGAGAATGAGTTTCGACCATTACTGTATAGTTTTTTTGTGGGCAAAAACTCATTTCCTGTATTACCTGCCTTTCGCGGTAATACTTGAGAATTTCCGTTCGTCTATAATGCAACTGGTGTTCTTCTTAGTTTTCGTTATACCGATTCTGTTATACACTACCACTGTACAGTTTTCGAGCTTTATTGACCCAAACTAGGCATGCTGGGCTATTTCAATAGAACTCACGCAGTGCATGATGGGTCCTGGGATACGTTCAGAATAATTTTTCATTTGGAAATTGCTCTGATTGTTTTCAGGTAAAAAAAATTAGTGATCTTGCTCGGAAGGTGGTCGGTCTGTCAAAAACCGAACCGCGGTTGGCCGCGCTCCAGGTCGTGGTTAGATTGCCGTAAAACAAACCGTCCTTTGTTTAAGCTTAGCCAACGAAGAAACTTCTAGGGCCGCTAGGGCGCTGAATCCTGGAAGTATCCTAACCGATAGGTGTTTCCGACAGTCTTGACTTAATTTCCATTCGGCATAAGCTTTACTTTTCCAGCATATTTTGCATCTTATTTTGGTTCTATGTGATTCTAACTGCAAGCAACATTCACCCGAATGTAAGATTGATCAATGCGTTCTACTTCGCAGAGTATCCCTTTCAACTTGTGTCTTGGGTGATTCAGCCGCTTATAATCTGTTCCGAGAGTTTTGATGGCGAGCTAATGAAAATTGTATGACTATTAAAAAATGGTTTCAGATTCCAATAAATTCTCGAATAAATTATTTACCTATTGTGGGTGTGTGAGAATCATTGGAATGTTTTATGGTAAGCCATTATTCAATATAGAGACTACATGTACCGTTTTTTGATCTACCCTTGACTACTGTGTCGAGAACTTTAAATAACATCATTTTAGCATTTTCCGCCTCGCCAGCGTTGGTAATTGAGCGGAGTTTTGCGACAATAATGCTTGAAAACTATGAAAAATCCCCAAACCGTCACATCGGAATCTCCATAGTGTCCATCCAAATCTTTATTTCGGTTGCCGTCGGAATTCATTTCAATTGGGGTTAGTTACTGCCGCCTGAGCTACGAAAAAGTTTCGATTTCAGCAAAAAATACAGTTGTGCATACACTAATCGCTATAATTGTGAATTTGTTGGCATTTTGTTTGAATAATATTAATGCGAAAATCAATTCCAACTATTCTCAAAAAATGAATCAAGTCCATTATTCATTATCCGAAAGGTTTCAAATCACCGAAAATATCAAATCTGCAAAGATGTTTAACAAAATCGTTTGGTCCATTGGATTCTTCAATGTGGTTGTGAATATTTGTTTGATAGCTGATAACTATGATATACCGCCAACGTGGAAGAATATCGCATCAGTCGCTTGTGATTTTTCGATTCTACTGTATGGCTTTATTGTTCCAATTGTCTATTTCAACCAGACGAAATCGTGGAAGAGGCGTGTTAGAGAGATATTGGTAGGTCAAATTTCCAGCAAAATGATATGAATAGAGAAACAATTTCAGAAAAGACGGTGCGAACCCAAAGTCAGTCCAGAAAGGAACGATTTCGCAAATGAGATAACGTCCCATGCACCACGTGGAGAGGCACATAAGTATTTCGAGATGCTCAAAGAGCAATGGGGATAACTTTTGAACTTTGAATAACCATTAAACAATGTTTATAATCTTTTTATTAAATTGGTAAAATCACTGCATGAAATCCTTTATCATTAGGTGTCCCTGAATTAGCTGGTGTGAAGGTCACTCTAGCAACATTGAATGGACTGAATAATGAAAATGGGTATCTGTTAAAAACTCCACCATAGTGTCCAATGTTCGTTCCAAATTCGTCGTAAACATCCAATACTCCATTTGTCTGCCAGAAATCCACGAATATGCCCACCCGATAAGGTCCAAGGGCAAGCAACTGCCACTTACAAACTACCGATGGCGTATCGTACGCTGGATATGATGAAAATGTGTTGGAAGCCATTACAAAGTCCTGGTTACAATTTGAACTGTCTAAAATGACGAATGGGATTGGGGACCTTTCAGGAAGAGCAAAAATTGTTGGCGCAATTTTTTTCTTGCATAAAAAGTCTAGTTTTCTAGTGCAATCAATCTGATTCCACAGCCCGTTACCTCCAACTTCCATCATCAAACACCCTCCAGTTTGGAAAGTTAGAGGTTTGATATAATTGAAGTTGTATGGAGTACTATCTGTCCAGATGTACCTGAATGCAATATTACAGGTTTCTGTTCACTTAATTCACGTCTTACGTTGTATTTGACACCGCCTGTGCACCTAGCATAATAGCTTTCACATTTGTCCCTTTATACTGCTGCTTTATGAAGTCCACCTCAATTTTCGAATGAATCGATGCCAGTTTTGCTCCGCGTTGAGCACATACTGTCGTCGCATCGACAAAGTTCATCAATGCTCCATTTACTAAGGTTTTAGACCTCCAGTAGCAGTTTCCACCGTAGTTGATTTCACAGGATGATGCTGAAATCGGATTATTGTAAACATTCTAGAAGGACATCCCTAGTTTTCAACTTTGAGCAAACTTTTCTAGGATAGATATCAAAACGGTGTTAATTGATAAAAAGATGGTGATGTTATGGTTAACATTTTGACAGTTGACCACGTTTTGATTTCTTTCGTGGGAACCGATATAATCGAGCTCAAATGAACGTTCACTGTTCACCCAAGCTGTCGATAAGTTTTTGTTTGGCCGAGCTTATTTGCAAAAGAAACACGGCAACCTAGTACCTACCTATGTACGGCTCGGGCTGTGGCCAGCCGCGGCCCTGTTTTGCCAACCTTACTATCAACCTTAGCTCTTACCCGAGTAGGTCGGCGGAACTTCACAAACATATGTAAAACTTTTGATTGCTGGATTGTTCTGATGATTGCAATTAGCATTTCTCCATTTCCCCTGATTTGCTCCAAAGTTATCAGCAACCAACATCGTTGCACAAAAACCAGATGAAATCGATGGATAACCGGGTACATAGTTGTTGAAGTAAGCAGTGATGCCTGACGCGTCATCAAAATAACCATTTACTACGGAATTGCCAAAAATCGAAAGTCCCATCCAGATTTCTATACCTCCAGCCGCACGAGCAAAGTTTGTAATCGCTACGTTGTCCTGAAATTGAAATCTATAACTTTAAATGCACTTAGAGTTTTCATACAATGACATTCTTCACCGTCACAAGGGTACCTCCGTCCAGTTTACAATTATATTCTGCTACTGCATGTAGTGCAGGTGTTGAAAAATATTTCAGACAAAGTTGACCATTGATAAGAGTGTAATCACTTCGGCATAAAATACAAAGCCCCTTTGGAAGGAATAACAGGAAAAGGAGAATGGAAAACATCATTTTTTGGGTCAAAGGAGGTCGGGTTTTATACTGATGGGGTTGGTCACAAGACTTGAATCAAAAATGATAAGTGTGGGTGGTAAGATGCTTCCGCTCGGCACTTTGTGATTACGATAAATGTGTTTCCTGTGTGATCTGTGAACCATTGGATCGGAAAAATAGTAGGCGAAAGTAATATGCTTTGCTTTTTAATAATCTACACAGTTCCATCGAATCAAATTATTTTGAGAATTATTACACGCCATAAAAAATGTTCTGTTTTCTTGCATATACTGTAGGCAGCGGAAATTGGACGAACCAGTATAAATATTAAGACTCCTCTCTAGTATCAACAAAAAATGTCAACCAGCTACCTCTACCTGGTTTCCTTGGCCCAAAAAGTGGGAAAAGTCGCGTTTGTAACCAGCTCGCTTTTAGGAATACTATTTATTTTTCTGACCTTGTTTGGAGTTCGAATAATCTTTGGGACCTACAAATATCTGATGGTTGTCTTCTCGGCACTCGGCATCTTTTTGGCATGTCTCGAAGCGATTTTCCATCCGAACCCTCATTTTTACAACGGTGGATATGTATATTTTACGTTGACCTCTCCGTTTGGATGGAGCCACAAATTCATGATGTTCATCTTACGTAAGCGCGTAATTCAGGTAAAAACCGGCGAAAGTTGTTTTTCAGCACTGTACACTGGCGTCTATTCGTTGACAATATCCATGTTAGCCGTGCAATTTGTCTATCGCTATTGCGCATTGTTTACGTAATTTTAAGTGAACATTATGCTTTTTTTGAAGGGATATGTTTCAGTCTGAGCTACCTATCTTACTTCCGCGGTTGGAAATCTTTAGACTGGATTTCCTACACCCTTTTTTTGGCATAATTTCGTGGATCGGCGCCTACCATCTCATACAAAGAGATGACATATGTGCCAACTATTTCAAAGATGAAATGCTTCTTCGTTATGAAGTTCTTCCAACAGAAATACCAATGATGACGTTCCTAGCTTTTGACCCAAGTGATGGATCTGTACGCTGGTGGAATGCTACCTACACACTTTTAATAATTTCCATTATGGATATTCAGTATATTACTATGATTTATTGCGGATGGAATATGTACTTCAAAATGGAAGAGAAAATCGCAGGACTATCCGTTGCTTTGAAACGACATCATCGACAATTGTTCAAATCTTTAGTGTTCCAGGTTGTATCAATATTCTGTCATTCATAATACTTTTTGATTTAGATAACCTGCCCTACAATTTTCCTCTTCTCTCCAATAGTTCTCATTATCTATATACCGTACTTTGAACTTGAGCTGAGTTTTCCTGCTGGTGCTACTGTCACTGCGTTCAACATCTACCCTGCCATGGATTCCATCATTGTATTAATGGTAATCACGGAATACAGAGTAGCTGCGAGAAGTTTGCTTTTTTATTGACTGGTTGTCACATCATGAAAATTCAGGAATGTGGAATAGTCTTCTTCGTAAAATGACGATCAGTGCTGGGAAGGAAAGCAGTTACAGTAGTACCCAAACTCAACAAATTCAATTGGCAACGATATCAAAACCAACATCTAATTAGTTTTCTTTTCCGCTATTTTTCCGCCCACATTGTACCAGTTGTATTATTTTTCGTAGAGAACGGAAATGAGACAATCCAATGTATATATAAAAAAATTTCTTATACAGACACTTTCGCCCTAGTATCAACCAAAAATGTCAGGCAGCTACCTTTACCTGGTTTCTTTAGCTCAACAAGTGGGAAAAGTTGCGTTTGTGACAAGTTCACTTTTCGGAATACTAGTAATTTTTCTAACTTTGTTTGGAGTACGAAAAATATTTGGAACTTACAAATATTTGATGGTTGTCTTCTCGGCACTTGGAGTCTTTTTGGCATGTCTTGAGGCCGTTTTCCATCCGAACCTTCATTTTTACAATAATGGTTTTGCTTATTTTTCCTTGAAAGCTCCTTTTGGCTTGAGCCATGGATGCATGATGGTTATTCTGCGTAAGTGTGTGTATCGCGGGAAACTCGTGAAGATTGAATTTCAGCAGTGTACGCTGGAGTATATTCGTTAACAATATCTATGTTAGCCGTGCAGTTTGTCTACCGCTATTGTGCATTGTTCAGGTAATATTTATTGACCTTTCTGGTTTTCTCAAAAGCCGAGGTTTTAGTCTGAGCTACCTATCTTACTTCCGCGGCTGGAAACATGTATACTGGATTGCCTATCTATTTTTCTTCGGTTTGATTTGGTGGATCGGCGCCTACTACCTTCTGAACATGGATGATATATCTGCCAACTATTTTAAAGACGAAATGATCCTTCGCTATGAGGTTCTTCCAACAGAAATTCCAATGATGGCATTTCTAGCTTTCGACCCAAACGATGGATCTGTACGCTGGTGGGATGTTCTCTACACCGTTCAAATATCTTCCATCATGGGCATCCAGTACATTACTATGATTTACTGCGGATGGAACACGCACTCCAAAATGGAACAGAAAATTGCAGGACTATCCGTTGCTTTGAAACGACATCATCGACAATTGTTCAAATCTTTAGTGTTCCAGGTTGTATCAATATTCTGTCATTCATAATACTATTTGATTTAGATAACCTGCCCTACAATTTTCCTCTTCTCTCCGCTAGTTTTCATTATCTATATACCGTACTTTGAACTTGAGCTGAGTTTTCCTGCTGGTGCTACTGTCACTGCGTTCAACATCTACCCTGCCATGGATTCCATCATTGTATTAATGGTAATCACGGAATACAGAGTAGCTGCGAGAAGTTTGCTTTTTTATTGACTGGTTGTCACATCATGAAAATTCAGGAATGTGGGATAGTCTTCTTCGTAAAATGACGATCAGTGCTGGGAAGGAAAGCAGTTACAGTAGTACCCAAACTCAACAAATTCAATTGGCAACGATATCAAAACCAACATCTAATTAGTTTTCTTTTCCGCTATTTTTCCGCCCACATTGTACCAGTTGTATTATTTTTCAGCCCCCGTAGGAAGTTGTAAAGCTCTAACAGGAAATACATATATAAAGACAAAGTCAGTTTTACGATTGTTCTTTTGACTATGTAGGCAGGGAGGAAAAAATTGTATAAAATTTGCAAAACTCTAATAAGCACGCTTTGGCAGTTTTCTTTTTAAATATTCATTCAAATATTCCAAAAAATACATTCTCTGTAACAAAAAGTTTATCAAAACAAAAACAGTTACTGATTAACACTTTCACACGGTGTTTCGAAAAACCTGGTCAAAAATCGCGCCCCAGAAAACTTTTAGGCCAGACGAAGTTTAATAATTTCAAAGTTGACGTGGATTTGACTTAAATATTTTTAATCAACGCATTGCAACTCGCGATTTTTTCGCTCAACGTTTAAAGTTTGATTTTCAGCCAACGAAATTTGATACGTTGCACAGTGATTTTTCACTTTCGCTGGGGCGCGTTTTCCCGACCAGGCTCTTTGAAATAGCGTGCTTTCGCCCAATTGTCGTTTCATTCAAACTTATAAAGTTTTTATTCCGCTGTTCAAAAAAAAAACATTACACAGGCAAAACGGAAGCCACGAATCCTCTATCATCTTCAGTTACATGACTAGCTGGAGTGAATGTGACTCGGGCAATATTGAATGGAGTAATTACAGAGAACGGCTCTCTTTGAGCGGCTCCGGCAAAGTGTCCAATGTTGTTATCGAATTCATCATAAATGTCCAGAACTCCATTAGTGATCCAAGAATTGAAGTAAATACCAATCTGATAGGGACCAAGAGCCAATAAACGCCAGGAGCAATAGGTAGTTGGTATCGAGTTGTAGGGGTTTGATGAAAACATGTTAGGGTATCGAAGAATAAGTGTTGAGTTACAGCTCGAAAAGTCTAGAATCGCAGGTGGAGATTTGGCGGGACTTTTGAGTTGTTCAGGGACTGCTACAGTTGGTGAAATTTTCTGTTTACACAAAAAGTCGAGTTCTTCAGAGCAATCAACGCCATTCCACAAGCCAACACTTCCAACATTTACGCTCATCATCAAACAAGGTTTTGAGTAGTTTGAGAATGGATGGATGTACGCAAAATCCCAATAAGTTCCGTCGGCCCATTTGTATCTGAAAAATACATGAAATGAGTACAATCTTGTATCTTTCATAAACCACTTACGTTAACGCCGATTGCCGTACTGCTCCAATAAAAATATTTTGTATCGTTGTCCCTCTGTACTGAAGTTTTATGAAGTCGTTTTCCATTTTGGAGTGAATCGAAACCAATTGTGCTCCACGTTGAGAACATGCGGCAGCAGCTTGAGCTTGGTTTAATTTCGTTCCGTTCACCAAGACCTTTGACCTCCAATAGCAATATCCATTATAGTTGATGTCACATGGAGAATCTAAAAACTCTCTATTGTTCAGGAAGCATTCTGAAGTTTTTAACTAACAGGAATAGGTTGGAGGTACTTGACAAATGTATGGTCTTTGTAAAGCCGAGGTGTTATTCTGATTGTTGCACGTGGAACTGATCCATTGTCCTCGAGTTGAACCTTGATTCGCATTGACCAGCAGTGCCGCACAATGACTGTTGAATTTCTCGTTTGGATATGGAGGATGGAAGTTGTTGTAGACAGCAACTCCAGAATTGTCGTCCCAGTAGGTTAGAAGTGGCGAATCACCAAAGACAGAAAGGCCCATCCAGACTTGTTGTGCGTTGGTGGCGGAGATCCATTCTGTGATTGCACGGTTGTCCTGAAAATGGATTTTGAATTTGTGCAAAAAGTCATACTACACGTACAATAGCATTTTGGACCGTAAACAAAGTTCCACCATCCAGTTTACACTGTTGTTCGGCAGCTGAGTGTGGTACAACTATGGGATAGTATTTGAGACACAGTCTCCCATTGATCATAGTATAATCACTCCGGCAGACGATACCATAGGCAACAGGGAGAAGACTCAGGAATAGAAGAATCGATTTCATGATTAGAAGTACTTAATATTAATGATTCGGGGTCGGGTTTTTATATCAATACGTTGGGTCACAAGTTAAGACGATAATACTATGAATACGAGTCTTTGACCAGCGTAGGAGTTGAAATCTTCCGCTGGAAGGGGACGTGATAAGAAAAATTGATAAGAGTTTTGGTTTCGTATTTCCTGCTGAAACTAGAAAAAAGTTTTCGACATTTTGACCTAACATTTGGTTTACCGCATGATGGGCACAATTTCATGTGTCCCAAAGCCTCCTTTAATAAATTTTTGATAATTTTGATGCAAGTTGAAAATTTTCGGATTTTTTTGTACATTTTTACACAGTTATGACATCCCTTGCTACGTATTAAAAAACATCGGACGGTTTTTGTTTCTTATACATTCTCAGTTACAGAGATTATTAATTTGCTCGGGAGGCTGAAAAATAATAAAACTGAAGACAGTGTGTCTATATTTTTATACGAATGTTGTGTAAATGTACCATAGTTTGCTTAATTTCCGTTCTGTATGTGATACAAAAAACAAAAGCGTTACTGCTAATAAACTTAAGCGGAAATTAATGAGATGAGGGTGAATTTTGTACTACATATTTAGACAATTTTAACCTTCCCTGCTTTCATAGAAAGAACATCGTGACACTGATTTTTTCTTGATGGACTTCATAGACTTTACAAAGCTCTAAATATAGTGAAAACTAATTAGATGTAGGTTTTCACATAGTTGCCAATTGAACTTCTTGAGTCTGGTTACTACTGTAACTTGTTTCGTTTCTGGCACAGATCGATATTTTGAGAAGAACAGTTTTCCACAGTCCTAAAATTTCAGCATTCATATTAATCATATAACTAGAGACTGACTTTTCACAGCTGCCCTGTATTCTGTGATTACCATCAGTACTATGATGGAATCCATAGCAGGATAGACGTTGAACGCAGTGTAAGCAGCACCAGCAGGAAAGCTCAGCTCAAGTTCAAAGTACGGTATATAGATAATGAAAACTAGCGGAGAGAAGAGGAAAATTGTAGGGCAGGTTATCTAAATCAAATAGTATTATGAATGACAGAATATTGATACAACCTGGAACACTAAAGATTTTAACAATTGTCGATGATGTCGTTTCAAAGCAACGGATAGTCCTGCAATTTTCTGTTCCATTTTGGAGTGCGTGTTCCATCCGCAGTAAATCATAGTAATGTACTGGATGCCCATGATGGAAGATATATGAACGGTGTAGAGAACATCCCACCAGCGTAGAGATCCATCGTTTGGGTCGAAAGCTAGAAATGTCATCATTGGGATTTCTGTTGGAAGAACCTCATAGTGAAGGATCATTTCGTCTTTAAAATAGTTGGCAGATATATCATCCATGTTCAGAAGGTAGTAGGCGCCGATCCACCAAATCAAACCGAAGAAAAAGAGATAGGCAATCCAGTATACATGTTTCCAGCCGCGGAAGTAAGATAGGTAGCTCAGACTAAAACCTCGGCTTTTGAGAAAACCAGAAAGGTCAATAAGTATTACCTAAACAATGCACAATAGCGGTAGACAAACTGCACGGCTAACATAGATATTGTCAACGAATATACTCCAGCGTACACTGCTGAAATTCAATCTTCACGAGTTTCCCGTGATACACACACTTACGCAGAATAACCATCATGAATCCATGGCTCAAGCCAAAAGGAGCTTTCAAGGAAAAATAAGCAAAACCATTATTGTAAAAATGAAGGTTCGGATGGAAAACGGCCTCAAGACATGCCAAAAAGACTCCAAGTGCCGAGAAGACAACCATCAAATATTTGTAAGTTCCAAATATTTTTCGTACTCCAAACAAAGTTAGAAAAATCACTAGTATTCCGAAAAGTGAACTTGTCACAAACGCAACTTTTCCCACTTGTTGAGCTAAAGAAACCAAGTAAAGGTAGCTGCCCGACATTTTTGGTTGATACTAGGGCGAGAGTGTCTATAAATGTATAAGAAATGTTTTTATATATACATTGGATTTTCTCATTTCCGTTCTCTACGTGATTTGTGCAAAGAACTGTTAGTGTTTATAGCATAGATCGGTTCTCAAAACTATGTTTGAAACGGGACTGTACTGACTGAGCTACACAGTTGCGGAAGCGATATCTGAACTGGACTAGTTAGAAATACAAGTTGTATACACCGATTATATAGATAGTAAACTTCTACGACCATATAACACAAGTCTTAAATTTTCTGGAGAGTTAATATTGATAAGAACGTTATCAGAAAGGTGTGCACTTCATGTTACTTCATTTTCATTTATTTCCATTTTTTATAATCAATCGATTTTTTCAACTTACAGAGAGGAAAAAATTATGTCGCCACCAGAATCTTCGAATAATACGTAACTATTTTGAAATGCCGAGATTGAACATTTTTTAAGAATTTCAGAAATTCCACCACTTCTCGCAAAGGAGGAAAGCGCTCAAAAAACTATAAGCATCTTCCACAGAATCAATCCCCAACCGAGTGTAGAATTTGTGAAAAGCCAGCAATTGGGTTCCATTATGAAGTACGTCAAGGATCATTATTTTTATTTAAACTTTAAAATTTTCAGGTTCCATGTTGCAACACCTGCAAAGTGTTTTTCCGACGAGCAATTATCACTGGTTATAATTTGGAATGTTATAGACCAAACCAATGCTCCCGTATGAATGGTTAGTCGAACTATTTTCTTTCAATTTCTTCATCTTTTAAAAAAATTTCAAGACCAGTGAGAAGAAAGGGTATGAATCCGCTAGCGGTTCGTTCGGAACCAATGACTGATTAGAGTAAAAAGTTGAGACAAGATTTAGTGGATATGAAAAATGCAGAAGAAACGATTTCAACTGTAAGTTTAACGAAAAAATAATTCTAGGTCTTCTATTTCAGTTTTTCGGGGTAGTTGAAGAAGATTTATTGGACAAAATGGTGCAAAAGTTAACAATGGTTGAAAGTGGAATCGAGCCAATGTGTCGGGAAGGTGTGCCACTGGGATATCGGGATTCACGACTGTTAGAAGATATTCTCACCTCACCGCCAATTCTGACATATTCCAAAATTCCAAACTTGGAGATTTGTCCACCAGAATGTTTTATTGGAAAGTGGTTAGTCATTTCTATCATAACATATTTGTCAGCCGGCCCGACCCGTTCCGGGCGGATACCAAAACTACCAAAACTAGGCGGATCAAAAAATAAAATGTGGAACGTGAGGTGAGCTCCTCTTTGAGAACTTACGGCCCGTTCCGAGGTCGGCAAGGTTATAGTGGGACATGAAAAAGTTTTTCACAACTCCTTGAACTCACAAATAGCCTACGTATTAGAGGTCCGACGCCTTTATCGGCTGATCTTCACGGTCAAGAAGTCTGAATTTCAGCAACCATCGGAGATGCAACAACGCCGTACATAGCAGCTTCTTGGCATCAATCGAATCATCCAAAATGTTCGATTTCTTCCCCAAATTAAATTTAGACTCTAAAGAGCATCTTCTAAAGCATGTCACCGCGGTGTGCTCTACAATGACCAGTGCATATTTCTCAATCAGTGATCTGAAATTCGATGTACTGGTACAGCCAAACGGAACTTATGATAGAATCACTCTGAACGAGGATGCTGAGAAAAGCGCGGTCATCGCCTATACAAATGCTCAGCAGAAGACGTTGGCTTGTTTTTTAAGAAATATAATTGACCGAATCGAGTATCTTCATTTCAAAGCGATCATGTTATGCAACCCTGGTAGGCCACATTCAAAACTTTGCTTTGTTTTTACTTTCTCATTTCAGCTGTGTCAAATCTAACACTTTTCGATCAACACATTCTCGGAGTGGAACGAAATAAGTATCTAAAATCCATGTACAACTACTGCCGACTTCAATGCGGAAAAGTGCAAGGACCAAATCGGTTTGCAGAGATTCTAGCGATGGCACCAATTATCGAGAATCAAGCCAAGAAACAAAAGGATTTCCATGTTTACGTTAAGACTAGACACTTGTTACAGCATGAGGAATTGGGACATGCTGAACAAGCGGTTGTTAATTTTATGCTTGATCAAGTTATGGAGGCATGAAATAAAAATTGTTGGAAGCTATTTTGTTATAATCATACATACATGTTTAAAAAATCAAAAAATGAGAAAAATGTACCAATGGAAACCCTTCAAGAATTGGTGTTACAGTTTCAACATGATTTTTACAAGCCACCGTAATTAATTAGGCAGGCCACCAACTTTTATGACTAAGAACTGTATTCACCTAGAAATGGGCTGATAGTCGCTTGGTGTGTTCTAAACCAATTACCATGATGGTCTAACTTTCGCGAATTGAGTTTTCCAGGCCACCATAGAAAATGACCTAGAAAGCACAAAAGGGATATATCAGGCAATTACCGTTTGCCATGGTGGCCTAGGAAACTCAATTCGCAAAAATTAGGCCATCAGGATAAAATAACCGAACATATCTGGTGTACTTAAAAACATCAGAAGTGTTTTTATTAATTAACGACACTCCGAGAAAACGCCCTAACGACGTCGTCCATCAAAACAATTTTTTAGCAACACAATCTCAAATGTTTATATTAAAGACCCCATTTTTTCGAAATTTATAACCAGTTGGTTAATTTCAAAACGTTTGCCTTCCTTCCGACCAAAAAATGAGCCCAATCACAATAAACACCCTACTTTTCTTTGTACCTATTTCGGTGAGCTTAATCTCCCAAGAATGCATATCTGAAACGAACAGGAGCTGCCACGAGAAGATTACGAAATTAAACGAATTCTCAAATGAAATTCGAAAATCTGAATTCCCATTGTCTGCACAACTCGATGAGTACAATAGATTGGTACGAGCGATGTTGGTGAGTCATATATAAATCGGCTCTAAAAATTAAAGCCCATATTTTAATTTCAGAATTGTACGTCTAATCAGAACTGCATGAAGGATCATTCTATAATAGACATCTTTGACAGCTTCAATAATTGGAATATAGCATCAGAAGCATATAAATTTGACTGGGAATGCATGGAGAAGGTTTTAAAGAGCGTCGCTTTTGAAAAATACGAGTGTTCGCTAGAGCATGATTTCTTTATGGTAAGCCTTCTAGATAATTCAAATGAATCATAGATATGTGGATTTCAGATGGATTCAAGTAACGTTCACGCAGCTGGAAAGGCTTGTTTTCTGACCATTTCGGAACAAGAATGTCCCTTTAAATATTACCATTTTCTAAAGACAAATTACGAGGGCATCATTAAAACCTATACGGTTTCCTCCAACAATAACCTCTGCGACAGTGCATTTGACAAGTTTCAAGGATTTGTATGCCATGCAATGGAGAGTGCGATTTATTCAAAACTGAGCACAATTTCAGCAGATGTTTCGAATTCTCAAATCGAAGAAACAAAAAATAAATGTCAAAAGTTTCAGGTATTCGTTTCAGATACTGGAAAAAATTTTTATATTACTTCCAGAAATGCTCTGAAAAGTCTTGTTCTTTATCGAACGCAATTAAAGAGAGAAACAAATTGGAGTGCGACACCATGGAATCTTTTTTCATAAAATTCAAACTGTTACCGAAAATGGACTGTCTGAAAGAGCTGAACACTTTGAGAGTTTTGGAAGAATACAGATACTGCTTGGGTCTTCCGGATCATGGAGAGAATTGTTTGAAGGAAGTTATTGTGAAGAATGATGTTTGTCAGAAGGAGATAATGAGAAAATTTTTGGATGCTCCATAGACGGCTAAAGTTTTAATTTCTTTTCGATAAAAGTTTCATATTTACTGACTATGAGAAGTTAAAAGAAGAAAACGAAAAAGAATGGGCCGAACCGGGGATTGAACCCGGGACCTCTCGCACCC